AACACATGGAGTGACAATGCACTGCAGTGCTTGTGGGCTACACACAACAAGAGAACTTGTCAAAAATATGCAGATCAGATAAACGTGCCTAATCCAGAAGAAGAATTGGAAGAATATGACGACCCAAGCATACTAGAGGTATATGAGGTTCAATCTTTCTTTCGAACACGATTTTTTTGTATGGTAATTACAATGTTGATGCCTTTATTTTTCAAGACATTATGCCACCTAAACTGAATCCAGCAGTGGATCCAAGTGAAACCGCTAATACTATGGTGTTCAATCTATTACATAAGATATACTAATATTCTTTTTTATGACATTACATATCTGCTTAATTGAGTTTTTTTCTATAATGTGTAGGACAACCTAGCACAATCAACAATGCAGTCACAGGGTCTATTACCACAATAAAATATATTTGTAGCTGTGAAAAGGGATAACTTACCTCCACCAAGGGTTACTACAGCAATGAACATAGGTAGAGGTCGAGCTACAGGTACAAGGTCAAGAAAAAAAAGCAAAAACTATAACAGACAGGCTGCATGCTGCAGCAGTGGTACAAGTCGCAAGAGAGGAAGGGGAGGAGGGCGTGCCGGAAGAACAAGAGAAGGGGAGGAAGAAGGGGGCATGGAAATTATGAGGATGCAGAGGTGCCAGAGCAACCTCAGAAACTGCGAGAGGTTTCGAATTCTTGTTCTTCGGAAATAGAACGCGGTCTCATGTCGCACCTGAAGAATTGAGTAACAGTTAATCTGCTCCAGGAAATACATGACAAGAGGTGCTAAATCGTGGAGACTTGCATCGTCACCTATGAAACTCACTTGAGCAATCTATAATTTGATTTCAGTTAAGTGTTTATTTTTGAATTTATTTATCATTGGGATAAGGAAACAGTACCCTTGGATGTTAAACTTTGAACAAATTTATGCTATGTCATAATTTGAGACCATCTTTGAGTTTCATGTCCCGAATCATGTATATCTGCTTGATACGTTTGCTGAGAAATTATTAAATTTGCAAGGCACCATCGCATTCTTCATTCAGAAGTAGTATCTGATACTAAAGTAGAGCTGCCGGCCTTGGGGAGCATGCTGCCGAGGGAGGGGATCTCCATGGCTGGTGCCTTGTGCGGGGCATCGACGACGCCCATGACGAGGTCGTCCCCATCAGGAGATAGGCAGCAGCAGTGAAAGGAACGCCATGGCCAATGTGGAGGTGGTGCCCAACCCAAGTGAAAGGAATCGTTTTTTTTTTGAGATTAAGGGAAAGGAATCGTTATGGGGCTTATCATGGCCATTCCGAAGAGAAACCTGACGGCTTGACCACATGACGATATGAGCCAAGCTGAATGGAAGTACGTGGCTCTGCACACGCTGCAACATGAGCCAAGTTCTGTGTACGAGTGAGCCGATGCTGCGATACGAGCCCCTCTTGTAGCATACGCACGGGAGCTGGGGTCTTTGGACCGTCTATGCACCAAAATGTTGCATCGGATTAAACATAATATTGTACTTCACATGTAACTTGCTCGACCCTTTGGGCCTTGGCCCGCCGCTGGACTCGTCTCGCCCGCGGCCGATCTCCTCCATCCGCTCGCCGCGCCGCAACCCGGAGAGGAGACTGCGCTCGGTCGAGCACCACCTGGGGCCCAGCGTCCTCGCGACCATCTCCGGCACGGCGTCCGCCCTCTGCAGCCCCGGTGTCCCTGCGACCATCTCCGGCACGGCGTCCGCCCTCTGAAGCCCCGGTGTCCCTGCGACCGTCGCTGCTGTCCTACTTCGCCACTCGCCACTTTGGCCGGCGACGAGCACCACCAGGACACTAGGTATTCCCTCCCCTTGGTCCTCCCTTCCTGCTGTGCGAAGCCGTGCGCCCAAACCTTAACGTAATTCATAGGTAAAAATCGTGCGCCCAAACCTAACATACTATTCGTAATCGGATCTGAATCTAATTACAGGTGTATATGCATGTATTATGCCTACTAACTTCGATTGCTTTGCAAAAATTATTGGATGTACATGTGTACACCCATGTCCTTTACCGGGTCCGCCCCTGCACCTTGCAAAGAATTGGGTTTTTTTTTTCATCCGGTAGAGGTTTCTTGTCGTTTGTTTTCGCAATTATAATCTTGAATCCTTGGATTTGTGCCCAGTACATCCAGTTCTTGAAGGAGAAACCTATATAGACCACAAAAAGAGGAAGGCAACTGTTCTGGAAAGGACGGTGTGGAGTTCTTGATTTTTTTTTCTATTCCCTCATGCATTCAAAGAAAAGATCCAGGGCGTCGGCGAGGATGCCGAGCTGGTACGTGCAGTCGACGCCCGGGGGTGTGGGTCCACGTAGACGAGGTAGTTGGCGCCTTGGTGGCGTGCTCCACCTCCTCCGCGGCGCCGGCCATGTCAGCGGCGGCGGTGGCAGATGCCGTTGCAACGGCGAGGAGGAGGAAGACGAGGGGTACGGTGGCCGCCGCCGAATGCTTCATGGCAAGATGTGCGCGCGGTAGCAGGTTTGTTCAGCGAGCTGGCCGGCCACCAGGATGATCGATGGATCTGGGCGATATGCAGCCGCTGCACCTCCTCCAAAAATAGGAACCCAACGAAGATAATCTGCCAAATTTTAAAGATATATATGAATGCAGAATATATAGCATACTTCTACTTTGATGATTACATGCATGCTTGTAAATTCACATGTCTCTCATCTGTAGTAAGTATTACAAGGAGAAAAAGGAACGTATTTTACATGCACATGCCATGTTTGATTCAGAAGAACAGCAGATGCGGGTCATGCCTATAACTGATAAAAGGGCAGACCCAGTGCGGGAGGCTCCCACATGAGTGGGGTCTGGGGAAGGGAAAAGCCATGCCTATAACTGAGCTTAAAAAAATTATATACACTGATGTACTACCTTTATGTGTTGCTTGCCTATAATTTTCTGCCTGTAATCTTATTTACAAGTGGCTGCAATACTACACCATGAACGTTCTCATTATCTGCTTGACTGCTTATGATGTTTATCTAGCCTACTACTAGTATGTAACAAATTTTCTAATCCAGAACCTGCTGTTTTTTCTCTGGTTTTCTAGACCTCTGGTTTTCTGGACAACAAATCTTGGTCAATCTTTTTTCTTCAAAGCACTTAATCGACTAGACAACCAGAGCAAGTGTTGAAGAAAAATTGCAAGGGTAATTGTGTGCAAATATTTCCTTCTATCATTTATGCAATGTCATAGATGATGGGTTGTTGCTACAATATGTTGATTTGAGGCTACAACTTATTTTACTGATGATGGGCTTAAGTAGCTATGTCTTTTTTTTCCACACCGGTAAAACCGAATTTCATTACCATGTCAACGGAATTACAGATAGTATCAGTTTAGTGACCGTAACACATAACCACAACTGCAAAACTTATCCATGCAAATGATCACAGAGGGAACATAGGCATGGACACAAACTACCGCTACTACCAGTAACTAGGCAACAAACTAGCTGTCCAAAAGATACCCTACGAGATTAACTGGGGTTCCAAACACGGGAGTTTCACCCACAGCAGCGCACAAGCTGCGATTGATACAACTCTAGCTTAACCGGCATAAGGGACCAGCTGCTTTTCATCTTGAGTATGTGACTGCATATCCTGCTTGTGGAAGAAGAGAGCCGCCATCTTCACTGCTTCAGCTCCCTGGACGACCTGCTGCTCCAAGTCACCCTTCAACAAACCTGCCCAATATATATGAGAAAGGAGCAAATCATACACACAATCTCAGTAGGAGATTTTACATGTTTGTATAAGTAACTATGTCTGTCTAATTACTTTCTCATCCTGCAGCATATATGTTTGAGATGCAAATGACTTGCATTGCGTACTGATGTAGTAGATCAGGAATTGTGTATAACTTTAGATCAATTAGTTTGATAAACTAGTTGACATTTGTTAATAGATCAGTTGCCCTTGCTGCTGCTACATTTTAATTAATCATATATGGTTTCTTTCTTGCACATGTGATGGCCAGCTTGTGCTTGTGCTCAGCTAAAGCAGCAGCATGCATATGCATGGCCAGGAATAGTTCCATCTCTGCTCAAAATATATTTGCAGTGATACACATCAGCATGTCATTTCAGAATGCTATGCTTGTCAAGGCATTTTTTTGTTTACGTCACCACACAAGCTAATAGATTCTTGGGAACTTGTAGGTTTCCTATTTCAATACTGGTTTTCCTGTTCTCCTCAATTTGTGCAGGTTTCTTTTTCACTGTTACTAGATTCTAGCACTTACAAACCTGCTCAAAATACTACTAGTATGTAATTAATTATCTAATCCAAAATCTGCTGTTTTTTCTCTGGTTTTCTAGGCAACAAATCTCGGTTAATCTTTTTTCTTCAAAGCACTCGACTAGGCAATCTGATCAAGTGTTGAAGAAAAATCACAAAGGTAATTGTGTACAAATATTTCCATCTTATAGATGATGGGTTGTTGCTACAATATGTTGATTTGAGCTTGCAACTTTTGTCTAATTACTGTCTCATCCTGCAGTATATATGTTAATGCAGTAGATTCAGAATTATGTATAACTTTAGATGAATTAGTTTGATAAACTAGTTGACATTTATTAATTAGTTATCGAAACAAATTTTATTCTTACACCATTCATGTGAAATATGGTGTAGATGGATGCAAATCAACTACGAAGGTCTTTAATTATTAGAGCAGTTCTGCTGCTACATTTTATTATATCCTAATAGTAAGGAGGATAAGAATGAAAAGGACAAGAATCTCGTATGCCCCAATGAGTGATATGGAAGCAAGCAGAGATGATTACCTTTCTAATATCTATCATAAAGATGATATGAGTTGTTTGCGCATGCTGAGAATGAGGAGAGCACCATTCTTTTTGCTATGTGATACACTGAAACAAAAGAGGGCTTCTTTCTGGTACTATCCAATGTTGCGTCGAGGAACAAGTAGCAATGTTCCTTCACACATGTGGCCACAATGAGAGGAATACTGCAATATCCAAAAACTTCAAGAGATCGGGAGGGCCGTTACTTTAAGTCAGTACTACGTGCTATAGGTGAACTTCGTGATGACCTTATTAGGCCTCCATCTCTTGAAACCCCAGCCAAAATGCTTGAAAATCCCTGGTGGTATCCTTACTTTGAGGTATGATCTTGGTACACTGTGGTAATGTTTTTGAGTTGTCTGTATGGATGTCCATTTGACCATATTTTTTAATTGAAATCATGATGTAGAATTGTATTGGAGCAATAGATGGTACTCACATACGAGCTAGTGTCCCCAAGTCCCGTGAGGCGGCTTTCCGGGGCAGAAAGAGTTCTACAACCCAAAATGTGTTGGCTGCCGTAGACTTTGACCTTCGCTTCACATATGTGTTGGCTGGTTGGGAGGGTTCCGTGTATGTGTTGGCTAGTAGCTGATGGCAATAGGGTGGACAAAGGCTTCAAGAACTCCCACTACAATCGGTGTGCTAAAGTGGTGAATAAAAGATTTCATGTGAATTTTAATGGTAGTCAAATTTCCAATCACCTTAAGACTTGGAGAACTCGCTGGAACACCATTGTGACCCTCAACAAACTCAGCTCAACACATTTTATTAATGATGAAACTGGAACTATAATGCTAGATGAGGAGAACTACTTGGCTCGTGTCCAGGTGTGTATTATCAGCCCACACTCCTTTCCCTCAATAGTCACTATCACACCAAAATCAGAAACGTTGTTATTAAAGAAACATCAGAAATGGTCACTGAAAGTAGCAGCCTCTTGTGTCCAGGTGTGTATTATCTAGCTCCAGTCATGCATGTATGCAAGTTTTTGCATATTTGTCTTGTGCCTGTGCGGACGGTCACTGAAACGAGCCTCTTGACGTTCCCAAAAAAGAAATAGCAGCCTCTTGTTATTATTACTCCATAGACCATACAAACTGGAATGCCGTTCAGTCGTTCACCCTTTGTTTTTGTTTATATCTTTGTGTGGTTCCAATTCTTTTCTGATTGCTGGTTTGGTAAAATAGCAGCCCTTGGTCACATCTACAACAACAACAATAGCAAAGCCTTTTAGTCCCAAGCAAGTTGGGGTAGGCTAGAGTTGAAACCCAACATGAGCCCCTAGTCACGGTTCAGGCATGTCAATAGCAACTTTCCAAGCACTCCTATCCAAACAAAGATCTCTAGGTATATCCCAACCTGTCAAATCTCTTTTTATTGCCTCTCCCAATGTCAGCTTCGGTCTTCCTCTACCTCTCCTCACATTGATATCTCGACTTATGACTCCACAATGCACTGGTGCCTCTGAAGGTTTCCTTTGGACATGGCCAAACCACCTCAACCGATGTTGGACAAGCTTTTCTTCAATTGGTGCTATCCCTAGACGATCACGTATATCATCGTTCCGAACTCGGTCCATCCTTGTGTGACCACAAATCCAGCGCAACATACGCATTTCCGCGACACTTAGTTGTTGGGCATGCCGTCTTTTTGTAGGCCAACATTCTGCTCCATACAACATAGTGGGTCTAATCGCCCTTGGTAATGTCTCACATGTTTAATTTAATCTGTTGTTTCAACTTTGAATTCTTAACTTGCTGGTTGGTGATCCTCAAGTTTACTACCAATACGTAGTAGTAGGTGGTAGTCAAGTATTCTCATTTCCTCATACCCACGACCAATGTTCAAAAAGGCGGTACTAGGTGCTCGCCTAGGCGCGCTTCAGCGCTGGGCGGAGGGGTAACGCCTCGCCTAGGGGGATAAGCGGAGAATAGGCGCCGTGCCACCAGATCCAGAGCCGCGCCGCCCGAGGGAAGGAGCTGCACCGCCGGATCCATTGTCGGGCCGCCTCCTCCAGTCCTCCCTCCTCCCAAGGCAATCAGATGCGCATTGAAGGAGAGGGGAAGGGAGCAGAAAGGAAAGGCAGGCCTTGGGTCGCGATGGCGTGGGGAGCGCGCGCGAGCTGCGGCAACGCACGAAGGTTGTGAGCCTGCGGCCTGCCTGCAGCTGCCCTCCACCGAGAGAAGGTCACGGGAAAGAGACGCACTGCTCGGGCTGCAGTTGGGATGTGGGTAGGACCGAGCGATTTTGCGACTTGCCCCTCCATTTTGTTAAAATTCCTGCAAATTTTCTTGCTATGATTTCCTTTACTGATTTCTTACATTCTAGTCCCTAGAACTTCTATTTTTGACAAGATACCACTTCTATTGCTGTAGGAACTTCTATTTGTTCAACATTTCAGCTATTATATTTATATATTTATTCATCTATACATGATAAATGCAAATTTAGCAAAACGCCTAGAAAAACGCCTAGGCTCTAGACGGTGGGTCACCGCCTAGAGACCGCCTAGCGCCTTTTTGAACCTTGCCCACGACACAGAGAACAACTGTAAACATGGTCAAAGAAGTAAAATAACAAAATATATACATGTCACAAGTGAACTGATGTTACCCCATTGTCTAGAGATGTTCTCTAAGAACATATATAATTATATATAACAAGTTGCTTTACCTATTCATAATCAGTTTACTTGTAGAAAATTAGATGGTGCTCATCTCTGACTTGATATTGAGGTGAATTTTTTCTTGTGTGACTTGTGACTTGGCCTTGTACATTCTTTAAAGGGCGTACCCAGTGCAGAAAGCTCCCGCTCTGTGCGGGGTCTGGGGAAGGGTGTCAGTGGCAAGCCTTACCCTCGCCTGTGCAATGCGAGGAGACCGCGACTCGAACCCGGGACCTTCCGGTCACAGGCGGTAAGACTCTACCGGTTGCACCAGGCCCGCCCTTCGGCCTTGTACATTCTTTCAGATGGCAAAATACTTCAATAAACATATTGAGAACTATCATTACATGGCTGTCATTTTTAGTAACTAACAACATCCCCGATACACATGGCAGTACGGGGTTACAATATCCCTAACTACCAAATATACTCATAACACTCAACATTCATTGCATAATGGAAAATAACCCTCTAACTTCACCATTGTTACGATAACAGTAACAATTAGTTGTCAAGAGCCCTACAAAGGTATGGTGTTACTTCTTCCAACGCCACTAGGACACACACAGCTGCAACAACCCATCCTAGAGTAATGGTGGAAAACTGGAAACCATGACAGCGCCGAGGTTGGCTCAGGTGTAACCATTAGAAGCTAAAATGCACAGCACAATGCTTCCTACCAAAAATACGCCGCAGCAGTAACAAAAGATATCAGCAGTGCTACCTTGCAAAGCAAGTAGGAAAAAATTGAATTATCCTTATCCCCATAATGCGAAACTCAACAGCCTAGAACAAATACCAGTTGCGGTCCCAGACAAACAAGCAACCATGAATTTGGTTAACACACGCCACGGCACAAAAAACCGAGGGTTGGGGTTGGCGTGAAGCGAAGCAGTAGGGTCTTAGTAGGAGAGGACTTGATCCTCAACAGCAGGCGAGGAAGGGAATCGCGGGGCAGGAGATTAGAATCCTCGGAGGCGGCCCCTGCCGGAGCGAAGACACGGTTGCCCCAGTCACCACTCATATCGGGGTCATGTCGTTGCCTCCCGTCGCAAGCGAGGGAGCTCGAGGCCATGACCAGCATGATTGCGAACCCCCCTCCAGCGAGTGGTAGATCCGCGGGCGAGGGAAGCGAGAAGGGAGGTGCGGGAGATTTGGGAGAACAGAACACTTGTGCGAGCCAAGGGGAGCGGAGAGGTGGGAGGAGGGACAGGTAGGAGGCAGTGAGTGAGGTGCACGCGTGCAGATGTCGGCACGCCGCGTCGGAGATGGAGGGGCTCCTGGCAGGCGAAGTGGTGGTGACTGGTGAGCCTAGGAGGGGGAGGGGAGGGTGTTTGGAAATGGCGAGGGAGGGAGTAGAGAGTTTGCGGTCGCTAGAGGTAGAGGGATGGGGGAGAGCGAAATGGGGAAATTGCATCGAGCTGCTTTGCTGTATGCATTTGGGTTCTTTTTGCACTCGCAGTCGGAGGAGAGGAGGATGCGATTTTTAGCCCATGGGTTGGGTCGTGACTGTACCTTGCTCGGGAACCCATCTAGTCGGAGGAGAGGATGATGCGATAAAATTCCAAGGAATGTTATGTGGTGGGCTTTGGACAAACATAAAGTCCCAACGAAGTACGTCGGGCTCATTAAGGATATGTACAACAATGTTGTGACTAGTGTTCGAACAAGTGATGGAGACACGGATGACTTCCCGATTAGGATAGGACTACATCAATGGTTATCTTTGAGCCCTTATCTGTTTGCCTTAGTGATGGATGAGGTCACAAGGGACATACAAGGGGACATTCCTTGGTGTATGCTTTTCGCGGACGATGTAGTGCTAGTTGATGAAAGCCGGACAGGAGTGAATCAGAAATTGGAGTTATGGCGGGAGACTTTGGAGTCCAAAGGTTTTAGACTTAGTAGAACTAAAACTAAGTATATGAGATGTGACTTCGGCACTACTACTCGGGAGGAGGAAGATATTAGTTTGGAAGGTCAAGTAGTGGCTAGGAAGGATACCTTTCGATATTTAGGATCAATGCTACAGAGAGACGGGGATATTGATGAAGATGTTAGCTATAGAATCAAAGCAGGGTGGATGAAGTGGCGCCAAGCATCTGGTGTCCTATGTGACAAAAGGGTACCACAGAAGCTAAAATGCAAGTTTTATAGGATGGCGATTAGACCTGCTATGTTGTATGGTGCAGAATGTTGGCCTACGAAAAGACGACATATTCAACAGATAAGTGTCGCGGAAATGCGTATGTTGCGTTGGATTTGCGGTCATACAAGAAGGGATCGAGTTCAGAACGATGATATACGTGATAGATTAGGGGTAGCACCAATTGAAGAAAAGCTTGTCCAACACCGGTTGAGATAGTTTGGACATGTCCAACGGAGACCTCCAGAGGCACCGGTGCGTAGTGGAATCCTAAGCCAGGATAGTAATGTGAAGAGAGGCAGAGGAAGATCGAAGTTGACTTGGGTAGAGGCAATAAAAGGAGACTTGAAAGGATGGAATATACCCAAAGACTTAGCCTTAGATAGGAGTGCTTGGAAAACAGCTATTCACGTGCCTGAACCTTGATTGCTTCTGCTGGGTTTCAACTCTAGCCTATCCCAATTTGTTTGGGACTTAAAGGCTTTGTTGTTGTGGGTTGGGCCGTGACTGGGCGAAAAATCGCATCCTCCTCTCCTCCGACTGCGAGTGCAAAAAGCCTTCGTGGGCTCTCAGGGCAAGGTACGCTCACGGCCCAACCCATAGGCTAAAAATCGCATCCTCCTCTCCTCCGACTGCGAGTGCAAAAAGAACCCGAACGCGTACAACATAGTAGCTTGATGCGATTTCCCCATTTCTCTCTCCCCCTTCCCTCTACCTCTAACGACTGTGACCTGTCTCTCCTCCCTCCCTTGCCATTTCCCAACACCTTCCCCTCCCCTCC